AAAAATGAAAACAATTTAAGCAAAAACAGAAGTAAAGAAAACGAACAAATAAATGAACCAGCAAGCAGAAGGAAACCTGACTGAAGTTACAACCAGTTTCCCCTCGAACTGAAACTTTGAAGCATACTAGTCTGTAGACTAAGCAGGTGGGAAGGATTTGTTTTGATCTTCTGGGGGATGTGCCTGGAGGGTGCAGGTGTGTGGGGCTTGGTGTAATGGCTCCATTCTCCACTTGGTGGCACTGATTAGCTTACTGGGGTGGATCCCTATATGTGCCAGAGGTGAAAATGGCTTCACCCAGCTCCCTAGTCTTTGGCACAGGAACTTTGCACTTCCCTGACCTATGATCAAGCACCCCTCCCTTGTCTCAGGTCTCCATCCACTCCCTGCCTCTACCTTGTCCATGTCTAAGCTGTCCACCTGCCAGGTAGTGCCTCCCTCCAGAGTTTTGTCTCAGATGAGGCTGTTTCAAAACTCCACACTTCAGAGACCCACACTAATTCTCTGGGGGTGGGTCTCACAGAGCAATGGCTGGTTGCCAGCTTGTTCCAGAAAACATTCCAGTGATCGTGCAGCAGGAGAGGCTCAGAGTTTATGGAAAAACAACACACAGCTGGTGCCAGGATTTTACCACACTCTGGCATCTTTGTCTCAATATCAGCAAACGTGGCTGCTCTCCAGGGTCCATGAGGACTTTTGCCCACAGGGAGGCTGTATGTCCTCTACCAAATTGCACTCCAAGCAGGAGAACAGCTTCTCACCATGTGGCACACAGACCCCTCAGACCACACTGCCTGATCCTAGGGATTCACCCTACTTCCTCACCAGAGCACTCCCAGACACTGAGCTCCAGAACTTCAGACTCTGCACTCCATTGTTTATAGAATCCTGGTGGTATTGAAAACCTCTCTGTTCTCTCAAATTTTGGGGTTTTGGGGAACAGATTTCTTGTCCAGTCCCCTGCAAGTGTTTTAATTCTCTCTCTCTCTCTCTTCCTTTCCAGGTACTTTCAGGGGTGAGTGCTTTTCTTGCACAATCCCAATGTGCTGCAATCATCCCTTTTCTCTTTCTCTTTCTGTCCTTTCTTTGTGAAAACAGCTCCCTACCCTCCATGGTTCTGCAGCTTTTCTCTCCCCCAATTCACCTCTCCATACCATATACCTGCCAAATTTTGTGGCTCAAATTATGCAGATTTTTTCATTAATCCTCAGGTCAGTTTCTTAGGTGTTCAAAGTGCTTTGATGCTGATCTAGCTGCATTTCAGGGGCAAGACAAGCTCAGAGTCTCCATACTTCTCTGCCACTTCTATAACCACTGAATCTGAATAAGCTCTATGGGTTGTACCAATGTCAATTTCTTGGTCTTGATATTATTAAACCATAGTCATATAACACATTAATATTGAGGGAGGCTGGGGAAGTATATATTGGACTTCCCTGTACATTTCTTTGCAATGCCCTGTGAATCTTTAATTATTTCAAAACAATTACAAAAAAGGTTTTTGATAGATAATGTGGCTGGTATATTATAATATGGAGCAGGAGAGGAGTGAGGCCTTATACTGAGGGGCAGCAGTTCACCTGACTGACTTATAAAGGGTGCCCTTAATGAGCCTTTCATTGAACTAATATATCTAGTTTCTTCTAACCTCCTCACTTTTTGTTTCTGCCAGGGTAAAAGCCATGTTGAATTGGCCTCTTTACAGGACTTTTATTACTTCAACATGGCTGTTGGGAGGGAGGGAAAAGCATTTTCTGAATGGCTATTAATAACAGCCATTAATTAATGAAAGATTAATAAATATTTATAATTATGTAATTTTGAAAGGTTGTACAATTATACACAAAAAAAGTCAAATTCTAGAATAAAAAGAAGTCTTCTCAAAAATAAATTGGCATTAAACTGTATTTTTTAATTACTAATGACTGTAACTGATTAAAGTACATTGAATTTATTAAACCCATAAGTTCAAAATGATACTCAGTAAATGGGAGACAGACAAAAAATAAATTCAGTGGACACCACTGGAAGTTGCTAAGGCAACAAATCATTATTATGAAAATTGATAATTAAGGAAAAATAATTTATCTTGTGTTTCTGGCATTAAGTGTGTTTCACGTTAATGAAATTGGGTGGGAGAAAGTTCTTCAGTACAGAATGTGTCATTTATAAATGCAGATAGAATGACAGAATTAGAATATTCATTGCAAATGCTAATGGTCCCTGGTGAATATTAAAACTATTAGGAGCAAAGGTCACAGGGAACTTGATAAACACTGGGCCAGGCTGCCACCACCTAAACTCACTAAGCAGTCTCAGCATCCCTGCAAGGGGGACATCTAGACATTACACTTCTCCTTGGTGCAAGTCAAACTCCTAGAACACCTGTGAAGCAAAAGGGCCCCAAAATAAAACCTGAAGGCTTCAGATATAAATTGTAGTCCATAGGAAATAAAAGGAATAGAATAAGAATCCCATGAGGGGTCCATTAGCCCAATCCAGGATGCAAGATGTTCTACAGAACCACAGAAAAATATTTTTGAACTAGATGGTGGTACAGTAAAGAGCTAACCTGGAAGGCCTAAGTTTGCCATCATTAGAAGAGCCTTTAGAAGAGCCTGCTCTAGGGTTGGCCCTTGGCTGGAATCTGGTTACTTGGCTTTTGGAATATTCCTTATGATAGAAAGTGATAATGTTGTTATATAGGCTTAGAACATTGCATTCTGCTGTACTAGCATGTCTAAATTATTTTTATAAAATGTGATTTATGGTTAACACCTGCTTTCTTTCTGGGAGGCTAGGACTTTGGTGGGCTCAGGGAGCCTACATGACAAGCCTTCATCAATACCCTGGAGCTCTGAGTCAAGCAGGCTGCCCTGGGCATAAATGCCACTGCTGAAGGAAGGAGCATGTTCTATGTGGCCCCTTCTGGGAAAGGAGACCTTTCAGAACCCTGCTTCTGGACTCATCCAGACTTCCTGATGAGGCTTCTTCCACTGTTGGTCATGATAATAAACCACAGCCCAGACAGGGCAGAGCTGCCTGTGAGTCTGTGAGCCCTTCTAGAAAAATCACAGTGTTTAGGTGACCAAGGGAACCCTGAAACATGATGATATTGGTTTAAAAAAAAGAAGAGAAAAATAATGGAGAGAATAGAGCTACTCTGGAATAAAGAAGACATAAGAGCTATAACAACTAATGAGTGGACCTTGTTGGACAATTTGGGCTCAACTTACTGGAGCCAACATTCCTCATCAGGCACACTAGACAACCACAGGCAAACTTCTGGAACTTTCCTGGCCATTTCTCCTGCAGGCCATTTTCTTGACAACTCCAAGGTATTTCTCATACCTATCCTACACTAAAGAAGAAATGCTTCTTTAGAAGTGCATTCTCTACTGACCTTCCAGGCTCAACCTACTGGAGCCAAGATTCTCATCAATGTGTTGCAGTAAGTCTGGTTTCACAATTAAATTAACAATGTACCAGCCCACCCAGGCAGTGTCTGCACTTTGCTTCATGCTATTAAAGGTAGGGCCACGCTTAGCTCCCCAAAAACACATAATTTATAAGACATAAGATCATTTGTAAAAAGGCTCATACACTGAATTGATAAGCATAACAGATAATATTCCTTCCCCCCCCCCCC